CTCCTAATGAAGTAAATGCACAGCACCTCAGAGTCCAGCTCTGGCTTCAGGTTTCCAGCTGTCCCTCTCATCCCCAGTCTCTGCACCAGCTCTGGTGACCCAGGATCACATATCCAGCCGCCCCGGCAAAGGTTCCCACTGCTGAGCCCCAGCGCTTCTGAGCCCCAGCGCTTGTTTCTTCTGGCAAAGGCGAAAAGCCAGGCGGTGATGAGGGAGGGGTGAAAGGACTGGACGGGTGGGGTGGTGGGAGGCAGCAGAGGGATTAGACTGAGCCCTGTCTACACTGGTTCAGCGACTTCAGGGGAGACATGAGGAGGGAAGTGCCATCACAGCAAGTTTCCAACCAGGGTTTGAGGTCCCACTTCTTGTTCACACAGTCACCGCACAGAAATTTTCCATCATGGGTGTCTGGTCTTCGTTCTCAAGTCCTAAATCAGAGTGATTAACAGGAGCTGCCAGGGTGGTGCCCAGTCAGATCACATGGGCCAAAGAGCGAAATGGAAAGAACCAAAAAGAAAAGACCCTCAGTGATACACGAAATGGATGGGAACTGGGAGCAAATGGTTTCACCGTGGTGCCGCAGGGCTAAGTACCTAGAGCGAAACTTGTCCACGGCCCCACTGCTTTTGGGTCTACTCTGAGGATGAGACAGTTGGGAGCTCTCCTGTGGAAATCAAAAGCACCCATGACCCACCCAGTATTTCCCTTTCATCCAGAGAGCTTTGATTTCTTTCTACCATAAAGCAGTCAGAAAATGCAGCAGAAAACCATAGGCGGGCTAGGACCGAGAATGTCACACAGGGCAAGAGGAAGTCACTTTCCCCTTGCTTCCTGTGTCACCAGAGGGGAATGCACCTGAATAATGCATCTGGTCTCTCTCGCACCCTTGTGCGGACTGTCCTCAGGAGGAAGGAGACAGTGTCTGACAACCAAGACTATGAAAGGCAACCTAGCTACCTCTGCCCCCTGGGTCCAGGCTGACTGCTGCAGAAACCCATAATCTCCAGGCTCTCGGGGTTGTCCAGGTGACAGAGGAAGGCACTCCTCACTTCTCTACCCAATACACGCCCAGGAAAAGCAACCCTCGAGGCACCCGAAACACCTTTACCGTCCATTGTTACTCCTTTGAATCTGTGCCTTACTTCTCAATTCACCTTAGGTACTCCGCACGTACTGGCTCCCCGAGCCTGGTGTCTACCATCACTCCTCTTTGCTACAAGTTTCTGACTCTCTCTTTCCCCTTTTCCTGAACACTTTTTATCACTTAATCAGGGGTCATTTTTTCACTTACAGGAGAAAAACTACACACTGAATGCCATAGCCGAAGTCATCTGATAAGCCAGTGCATTCATGAGAGATGGGCAAGTCAGCTCCCCTAACATAGGTGCCATTTAGACATCTGTCATTTAGAAACCCTGTAGCAGGGGGTGGCTGGGTGAGTGGTGAAGACTGGAAATCATTTTGATGCCTTGTAAGAGGCTATTCTATTCAACCTGGAATAGTGTTCATCCACCCTACTTTCCTCATAAATCTCTCATGGTAAAGAAAGAAAAGAATTGGAGACTAGGGGAAAAGCCCTTCTCTAGCTTTGGGCAATCATGCAATTACACTTCATTCATGAGGTGATTACCATGGGCCTCCTAAGTGCCAGGCACCATTCTCAGAACACAGAGATGAATACAACACAGTCCTTGAGCAATCAATTCACGTTTTTCCTCTTCTCATATAACACTGCAATATGCTTCTGTCCAGTAACATGGCATCAACAGGCACAGCCATTTGCATGGTCTGTCTATGGAAAATGGGTGGGTCTGTGGTCCCTGCATGCTACCTAGAGGTCTTTGTTCTAATTGAAAAATAAAAGTACAATGGATTCCAACACAATCCCAACTCAATGCAGACCACAGTGTGAGACCCTGCTCTGGTCTGGAAAGCACACCTCCAAGCTTCCCAGTTGCCAGAAGCACAAAATAAAGCATGGATTGCAATTAAGCTAGGAAACATCAATCAGACAGATGAAACCACAACCCAGGGTATCCATTAAACACTAAAAAAAGGGCACCTCTTTTTCATCTCAAATTCGAAGCTGCAGATTCAGTGAAATGCATGAGTGCCTCACTGACAATTAACACCTTCACAAGTTCAAGTTTACTGAAGAGAAAGGTTACACATTACAAAAACCTTCTAATTTGTTACTAATTAGAAAGACCAGCGGGCGTGAATAAGTGAAAATCTGGGATCAAAAGCATGCCCAATGCTGTGGCTTTTGTAAAGGAGAGGAACTTACTGAAGAGAAAGGTTACACATTACAAAAACCTTCTAATTTGTTACTAATTAGAAAGACCAGCTGGCGTGAATAAGTGAAAATCTGGGATCAAAAAACATGCCCAATGCTGTGGCTTTTGTAAAGGAGAGGAATGGGAGGGAGTACAGGTAACATTTACTGACAATGTGAGTTCCAGCACTTCTACAAAACCTTTCCTTTACTGAATCATCCCAGCATTCCCAGTCAGTAATGAGCAGCGAGCCCATTCTTTTTTCCAGTTATGGAGACTAAAGGTCAGATATTAAGTAACATTTACCCTATTTCTTCCTCCTCTTCCTCTGGCAAAATTCCTAATTCTCTGCATCAGTGCTTCTCAAGAAGTTTGAGTAAACTGGTCCTCTCTTGACTTGGAAACTTCTTATGAAATCGTCACGCACTCCAGGACACTGAACGCTGCTGGACTGCAAAATGCAGACAGCAGCCCTAAGAGCAGCACCTACACATCACAGCGGAAGACAGACAAGGTCACTCCCAGCAGCAGATGAAAACCACAGGTCTCACGTCTTTGAACATCAAAAGACTGATGAGGAGAGCACCTCCTTTAAAAGTATCCCCCTTCCAATGTTTCAAAGGTCCTTTATTTGATGGCTTTGAGCTCTTAAGAAAAATCCAGGCACCATTCTGAAAGGGTTACAAAAGCCACATGAATACATCTGCCCTGCTCTCCAGGGGCATCCTCTGAGTACCTATCACGGGCCACACACTGTTGCTATCCGCTAGGAAGTTAAAGCCAGGCTATCTGATCTGCACCCGCAAGGTGCCTGGTGTCTAATGAGAGGCACATTCGTGTAAGACAGATTTCAGCACAGGTGTCAGGTGAGCTCAGGGTAGGATGCCCCCGGAGCACTGGAAAGGTGGAGGGACTGGGAGGGTTGCGAGAGGTTCCCAGAGGAAGCGAGGGTTTTGGCTCTTTATTTTGTGGCCCCAGTCGATGCTCAGAAAACCACCTTTGCAAAGAACAGAGATGGGAACCATATTTGCAGTCAAAGTTTAAAGCACCTCCTTCATTCTTCAAGTTGAGACCTTAGTGTGATTCGGGGTGGGTATCTCCTGTTTACCAGACAGGTTCTTCAGCTAAATAAGTCACTAGAAAGTAAAATAAGCTCTCTGCAGTGCACACGCACTTCCTTTCAGAGCTCCGGTTTCTGTAAGGTCTAGCTTCAGTGGTATAACCACCCACAAGACAAGAAACATGACTAATTCTACGCTCCCTACAGTGAGCAGGAAACTGTCCAGAACACTGTGGAATGCCAACAGGTGGGCGTGCCCCTCACTTGGGGGACACAGGGGAGTGATGCGTTAGAGATAGACGCCATCTGAAGGGTGATGCGGAAGGGAGCCTGGTCACCCTACCCCTGGTCTCAAGATGAATGTTATCTTGGGTTTTCGATTAGCGACATCTGAAGTCTTGTGCTGCTATCAATTGTAACAATGCAAAAAGCCAGATTCTCTTTCTATATGTATGTGTGTATATATACGTATGTGTGTATATACACGTATGTGTGTGCGGGGGGTGAGAGGGGAGAGAGAGAATGAATATCACTGTTGTTGGTGCAGCTGGGAGAGCAGCTGGGATCTTCCAACCAGAGTCAGCCCAGTAGCAGTATTTTCCGGAGCTGAAGGATGCTTAGCATAGGAGCCGGGTTGTTGCTACTTCAGGTTGTTAAGACAATAATTATAAGGAAAGCAAGAGTCAAATGATTGCCGTTTTTCTCTCTTGGGGCAGGAAGGGGAAGCAAAAGCCAGCAAGCCCCTACGGCTCCACCAAGTCTCTGGCCTACAAGGAACAGGCTCATTTCCCCTTGGCAAGGGGCCTGGCGCAGCTGGCAGTCATGCCCTCCTTCCCTACCTCAGTTCTCCCGGGACCTCAAGCTCACTTGGGAACTGTAACTCAGGCATCGTGTGACCTCCTCTCCTCTGGCATCAGAAACCTTCTGGCTCGCAGGTTCCTCCTCCCTCAGAAACTACACTCCTCAGCAGGAAAAACCTGTGTTCCAAACTGGGTGAACCTGCGATAAACATCCCGGAATCCCTCGCAAATCATCTGTGCCTCTTCTCAACCAGGAAGTTCAAAGGAGGTTGGGCTGTACAGGCAAACAGCAAATCCAAAGCTCAAAATGGTTCGAGCCAAGAGGAGAGTGGTTTTTCAAGAACAGGGTTCACCCACATGGAAGTGGCTGGCTGTCCTTTCTCCCCCTGGCTGAAGCCCTGGCCTCCTGTACCCGGTGCTGACCCTGAAGCCTGTCCAGACTCCGGCAGGTGTGGGGCACCTTCGCCCTCCGCTGTCGCCCGGGCTGGGCACACGCGACGCCGAGGGGCCCTGGACCCAATCATGGTGCTCGAACCCGATGACGCACCTGGCCAGGCTCCGGTCCACGTGTGGGCCTGACGGCGGGAGGGGACGGGAGGGCAC